CTGCTACTATTGCTACTACCACTACTACCACTACTACCACTACTACTACTACTACTACTACTACTATTACTACTACTATCATTAATAGTACTACTTCTATCACTAGTGATACTGAAGCCGGCATGACAACGCCAGCTGCCATGGTGTCTGCGCGATCGTTCTTTCCCTGTCATGACACACAGCGTGTGTGCTCCACTTCGTGACATGCAGTCTATCGCTGTGGTACTCCTTCCTTTGTACCACAAGTACGGAAAAGCCTGCCTTCGACGACAATCCTTTCGCCGGAGGAGAGCATTCTCCGTCACTTCTCGAATGAGTACACATTACCACTGGCTGGGGTTTTTGGTCTGCATTTCTTGTGGTTCCATGGCGGTACACGGATTGTGCTCTTGTTTCAGACTGTTGAAACTTCCGTGCAGCTGATGAGAGCATCTAGAATTTTGAGCGCCGCTCTGCTCATGTGAACATGAGTTATGCATTACTAACTTTGGTCAGCGGTACCACAGCATGTAGGGCAGATGCACGTGGTATACGGTGCTGCTTCCTCCATCTCACGGTTGGCGCAAGGAAGGTAAGTTCGAGTAATCTTGAGGCCGGAAACCCCCCATAAGCCCTTGAGTTCAGCAGCGCTTCGGAGTCTTGAGTGCCCAGGTTTTTATGAAGCTACGCGGCTGCCTTGAGACAAATGCATCTTGAACTCCGATTCAGAACGTATGTGATACTGGTAGAACGAACTATTGAGTTTCTTGCCTCGCAGAATAGAGATGCGGAGCGGATCGTTCAGCCTGAAAGGCCGACGCAATAATCCAACCAGACACTGACATATGTATGGCCATGCGGATGCAGGTGCAACTTTTTGGTGAACGGCTCGTGCGTATTTTGCAAGATACAGGTCTGGCGGTTAGATGAGGCTAGATTCACGAAGCCACATATGACATGCCAACGCGGCACAAAAGCATCCGTGCGTGTGTCGCAATCCTGTACAGGTGACTTGTTTGTGCTCACATGTGAGTCTCGACCCGACATGCATGCGCAAGTTTTGAATCACACATACATACAGTACATACACAGACACACACATACATATATCTATATATATATATACATATGTATGTATATGTGTATATATATATGTACAGGTGTATGTGTAACTTCAAGTCTTTGTGTGTGTCCATGAAAACACATGCACATCCCTTGGTCTATGGATTCATTTTTTACTTCTGGTTTCTCATAATTAAAGTCGAACACAGAGGGAGAGTGAGAGAAGTGCGTGTGTGTGTGTGAACATTCGCCTCGGTGTGTGTTTCTGTGTGCGTGTTCGTGTACGTGTTGACCGTGCGTCTCTGCACGCCCTTCCTATCCGGTGACCGAAGTTGCTTGCTCCTTCGGATGTGTGTTTATTGGCAGACACGTATTGTGGCAGCCGCTATAAATTGAAGCATGGAGGGGGCGGGAAGTCGGAGTGAAAGTTGTTCGAGGCGGTACCGCAAATTGTGTCATTCGCAGTGCGACATCGGCATTACATGTCGAAGCTATATACACTGGTTAGCATAGGAACTGTTCATCATGACGACAAGCCGCCTTACAAACTCGGACATGTTGTCATCAGGATGTTTTCCGTTCACTCATGGCTTTTCAACCGGCCGCATACTTTAAGATCTTCCACAGCTAACATACGTCGGCCCTGTGCCCAACTGAACGCTTTAATCAAACCAAGTTCCCGACTGCGAACTATCAACAGTCAGCCGAGCAAGCACGCGGTCCACCAGCGATCGAGCAAAGTAGTTAATAGCTAGTGTGCCGAGCAAATGACTGTAGGTTAGAACTGACGAACTCATGAGCCAAGCAATTGCGTAACTTGCTGACGGCCGCTAAGCAGCTAGGTGCTCTCAAATCTGACTTGCCAGCTCACTAGCTGCCTGGAAATGTACGTATACACATAGAGGTGTCGAACAGATGGCTACCCGCTAGATAGACAGAGTACACATCTGTGACATGCCTGTTTTATCCATGTCCATTCATGTTCATCTAGCACACTGTTTGCTTGTCGGCTTATCCTTACTAGGCATGCCAACGTTAAGGAGAGTCGATCCCAGATATCAGTATTGAGCAGATAGAACATAAGTTCTTAATGAAGTTTTTTACGCACAGACATGCATATTGGATGGTTAAACAACAGCTTCCCTCTAAAAAGAAAACGAATACACGGTCAACAGTGCAGGTGCATATTTACATAGCATGCATGAACGCAAACATTGATACTTGCAATCATGCAAACATACATGCATGCATACACACACACATGCATGCACAGATATACGCATGAATTTATTCATTCTGGCATTCATACGCACATACATTCATACATGAATACATACATAAATACATACATACATACTTACTTACATACATACATACATAAACTATGACACGTACATACCTGTATACCTGCAGACAGACTGCCAGAGGCAAGCAGGCAGGCAGACACACAGATAGGCAATGCTTGCATGCATGCATGCATGCATGCATGCATGCATGCATGCATGCATACGTTCGTAGAATGCATACATGCATACATGCATACATACAGTACATACACACATACACACATACACACATACATATACACTCACATACATACGGTACATACTTTGTACATGCATACGTGCACGCATACACACCTTCACACACACACACTCATATATATATATATATATATACAGTATATATTTATGCACACAAACAACCTTCTGTTATATTTTGTAATGTTATATTATAAATTATATTGCTTCCGATTTGACTACTTCAGAGTATATTTTAGCGCATTGTATCGAATAATATGACGTTATAATATACTATAGTATAGTACATTATTTTATACCACATTACATTGTATTGCATTATATTATGTTGCATTACATTGTACGTTATTATGTAATGTTATGTTAGATTTAGACCAGTTTCGAATATGTTATATTTCAATACATTAGTACAGTAAACTGTATATCACATTACATTGTATTGTCTTATATCATGTTACAACACATTGTACTTGATTGTGCTATGATGTAATATGTTACATTTTACTAGGTCGAATTTTTGTTTGATTATACCATATCATATGATATTGTATAGTATTATATGATATGATAGTTATAGTATAGTACGCTATGTGCTACGTATACATACATATACTCGTATAGAGAAAGAGAGGGACACTTGTACGACTGTCTACCTATCTATCTATATGTATACTTATACATATGTGTATATATATATATATTTGCACATACATACATACATGCATGCATACATACATACATACATACATACATGCATGCATGCACACATACATTCATACATATATACACACAGATGGGTACACATTTACATACATAATCACAGGCACCTGCATACCTACACTCGTCTATGCGTACAGACATGCATACAGACAGACATACAGACAGACAGCCAGTCGGACAGACAGACAATGAGAGACAGAGGTGGAGACAGAGAGAGAGAGAGAGAGAGAGAGAGAGATACATTGCCCACGGACAGATGACTCAAGACGTGAGCCGTGCGACCTATGCCACAGTGGCCCCACATGTGGCAGACTTGTTGAGATGGCTGGAGACCCTCAACCCGGGGGACACAAGTCTTCACCTACAGCTGCCACCAATCCTGACACCCTGAGGGAGGTCCTCAACGCCATCCTCGACGGAACGGCGGGACACACAGCTTGCACACGCCTGGTGGCTATCGCTGATGCACTCGATCTTGATCGTGAGCAGCGTGATTGGACACTCACCATGCGGTGCCTCATGTGGACCAGACGGGGGACCTGACGAATTCCGGGGGGCCCGCTATATAACCTTACCTGACTAGTACAGAGCGGTTGAGCTTCTGCACGGGCTCCTGCGAGCAACTGAAACGTGGCCGCCTGCGTCCCTGCCAACGGTGCCAGAAGCAGCACTGAATCTGGTCCGGGGGATTTCAAGGCTCATCCGACGAAAGGCGAGGACTTCCCGGCGAAGCAGCCGTGATGGGGACGCGTGGTGGAGTGCGGACCGACACCACGGACTTGGGGATTCACGCAGAGCAACAGTTCCACCTTCCCCTCGTGGAAGGGGACCAGGCGTCCGAGAAGTCCTACGTCACGAGAGCAGCTCGGATGCGAGCCACCGACGCCGCCGCATGCTCGCTGGACACGTGCATGACTTCGGCCTGTGAGTAGCTCATCCGCATGCGGGGCCCCGAACTGTGCCTACTAGCAGATTCACCGTGAGCCCAACTGATGACGAGAACAGTGAGCTACCTAGGGGAGTGCCCAAGCCTTGATGCAGAAGCAATAGGGGACCTGCCCCGGTTTGACTCTGGTCGTAGTCCTACTCCTTTCGGTTTTTGTGTCGCTAACCTAGTGTAGCCACGCTTTGTGCTTTCACATTCGGCCGGGACCTGTGCGGGAGGCTGCATCCACCTATTCATCCTGAGCACGAGGGACCTCGTGACCTAATGACCTCATGTCGGGTAGCTGGTCTGCTCAATGTTTTTTGTCCGGAAAACCAGAGGACCCCGCAAGAACAGGCCGCGGTAGTTGAGCTGAGAGGGCGCAGTGTGTGGATGTTGTTGAGCTAGCCGAGCGCAGCTTGTCGTGGTTCACGGCCCTGGATCTGGCTTCAGACTCTTTCGACGTCGGGGGACCACTCAGACGAGGTCGAGTAGTGCTTCTTAGGATTAGCTTGTCCATGCGTGAGAGGCTTAGCTTGTTGGTGTGTGGTTGTGTACGATACTTCGACCTGAAGGGGGAAATCCGGGCCTTCGGAAGGTCTGAAGATGAACAGTTAAAGCACAAACTAAGTGTGCAAGCTACAGGATTTAGATTGCAAGCTCCCAAGCAGCGAGACTCAAGATCAAACACGCAGACGCGCTTAGGACTGTGAAGCTTGCAACCCTCAACATGGTCAAGGCTTATTGAGTGTTTTGCAGCTCCGAGCGAAATTATATTATGGTTTGGGCTTTAGTTCGATCCATGAAAGCAAGCTGCTTCTACTACAGCTACTACTGTTCGTGCTCCGAGTCGTACTCCTACTCCTACCGTGGCCAACAACATTTTCAGTAGCGCTATACCGTCACCACGACCACTGCCACTACGAACGCTGCAAGAGCGTTGGCGGCAGGCAAAAACTGTGTGGGCACTGGCAGTTCGTGGAAGGTGCGCGGAAGGGGACTCGGAAGGGGATTCCCCCCAAGTCGATCTTTTACCGTTCGTAAGTGTCGCCGCAGTTGTCCATAAGAGATTGCGGCATGCTAGCGACAAGAAACGACGGGTGCGTGAATGTTTGGAGAAGGAAGAGTCGGTGTGCTACTCTGATGGGGGAAAGCTGCCTGGAAAATCATCGCACGGTACGTGGATGTCGGTTGTGGGGGTCGTCTGAATGTGTATCGGGTACATTCACAAACTTCCACAAACTCGAACTTCAGACGCTGCGAGTAGGATTTCTTCATTCACCCGACACGTTCTGGTTTCCTGAAACGGGTCTCGCCAAGATGACTACAACTGCACCCGCGGAAGGCAAGGTAGTGCAACGTAGCGACAACACGACGCGGAAGGGTTCTGCGGAAGCAAGTGGTTCCAAGAGCCCCGCGGAAGCACCTGTTCGCACGCGGAAGGGATGTGGAAGGGTTTTGCGGAAGCGGGATTAGCTTCCTTTAGCTTTTGGTTGTAAAAAAACCAAAGCTCAACTGTAGCTCTTCAAGTATCGGCTTTGTGGCCTCCCGGGAACCTGCTCGCGATAGTGTCCTTATCACTGTACGGTGCTTCGTTTCGCTGTTGACGGAGCCCCATGCCGAAGCCTTTAGGTGCCCCAAAGATACATGTATTTCGACGTCGGGGGACTTGCACGTGGGTAGTTGGTTGACTTTTTTGGCTAGGTACGTTAAGGCAACTTATAGGTACGTGGAAGTGACCTCGATGTTCTGTTCACGCTCAAAAGATGCCCTGAAAACTGGGGGGGCCCTTGTCGCCAGGGTGTTTCGCACACCCCCTATGGCCTGGAGAAGGGGAGAGAGAGAGAGAGAGAGAGAGAGAGAAAGCAAAAAAGAAAGAAAGAAATAACAAAAATAATAACGAAAGAAGGAAAGAAAGAACGAACGAAATAAATAACGAAAGCAATATCGAAATAAAGGAAGAAAGAAAAATGAAAGACAGACAGAAAGAAAGAAGGAAAGGACGACAGATAGAAAGAAAGACACAAAGGAAGGAAGAAAGGAATGAAGAAAAGAAAGCACGAAAGACAGACGGAGACAGACAGACCGACAGACAGCCAGACCGCCAGACCGCCAGCCAGCCAGCCAGCCAGCCAGCCAGCCAGCCAGCCAGCCAGCCAGCCAGCCAGCCAGCCAGCCATGCATACACATACGCACACA